CCCCGCAAGCGGGGGGGGTCGCGGGCCGAGCCGGCACCACCCGGCAGGCTCGGCGAGCGGGCAGGGGAAGGGGCCGGCCCCTCCAGGTGCGGGGGTGGCCCTGCCTGGTCCGGGCTCGGCTGCGCCAGAGGCTGAGCTAGTGATGATAAAGTTATCCCTGTCCGAAATTAATCTTTCCTCTGTGGAAGCGTGACTCTGAGGCTCAGCATTAAAGATGCAACGGTAAAAGAATGGTTTGTTACACGAACTAACTCTGTCCCCTTCCTCTGTTTCAGAGCACAGCACGGCATCGAGCAACAGTGAAAACACTCACCTGCCTGGGAGGCGGGTTCCTTCACTGGGCTGGCAGCAACCCTGCACGATGGTGAGCAACATCAGCGCCTGTCCTGTCACGGTCTAGCTTTCTCTTGTTGCTGGGCTGTGGAAGTAAGCTTCATTCTGTTGTATCCAATGATATCCTCCTGTGTCCCTGGGCCTACTGGGAGGAGATATAAAAGCCCAGTGGCTTGATTGATATAATTAAGCCAATCAAGCTGTAGCTTTGTTGCAGCTGCCACCGGAGTGTGCAGCCCTTTGCTGCCGTGGAGCCCAAGTTGAAAGGCAGCACAGAGTGAATGGGAATTCTGCTGTTGTGGGTGCCCAGTGGAGCACCTGCTTGTCAGCGTGGTCAGAGATGAGCAAGAGTAGAAGGGATTAGAAGTAGGAGGGATTGGATGACAGCCCGTTACAGAGACACTTGACACAGCTCATCTCATAACTATTTGTCATGGAAAGAGAGCTAGTGAAAGAGGAATTGGTGGGTGCGCCTTCCTGGGGGTGCACTGGGACAGTTTCAAACTCGCGTCAGGTTGCTGGGGGTGGGGAGGTGCCGCTCGTGTACACCAAAGGGGCATCCCAGAACGGACTCGCCCTGAAGAATCCTTCCCTAGAAGGGATGTGTCTGCCTTATGTCTGCTTAAATGCATTTCTCCAGATAAATCCGTAGACAGTTTACATTCAAGATGGGTGGATTATTCTTACGTGGAAGGAGGGAGTTGCATTAAGATGGTTCTGTATGGTGGCGAGGAGGATGTCTCCTTCAAACAGCTACAAAGGGTCTCAACCACCGAAGTCTCAGAGCTGGTGGATTTTTTTTTTTCTAAGCAAGGATTTAAATAGCATCCACCTCCCAAAGTTTCTTGTCTCTGAATGAGACAGCTCACTGGCAGAGATACTCCTTTGTCTCTTTTTTCCTGTGCTAAGTTCGTGGGACAAAAATTGCTTCTCCCTGAATGGAAAACTTCCTCTCTAATTCTTGCTCTGTGACCCAGTGCTGTTTTTTGTCAGAAGGGGTGGAGAAGAATGAGCGGACAGACTGTTTGAAGTATGGTTGCTAACGGTGTTCAATGCAACTTGTGTTTAGGAGGAAATCGTCCTGCAGAATCCTGGGGTTGTACCGTCTCCCAAAGACAGCTTTGGCAAGAGGGCAGCTGCCAAGTTGGGCTTCAGGCTGGTAAGAGACTGCTTTAGCATCGCATGCTGCTCATTTTCAGTGTCTTAATTCTAGGTCAGATCTGTAGGCAGCCTGACTCATCTGCTGGGCAGAATACCTAGCCTTTGAATGCTTACCAGGAAAAATACTGGTCATCAGGAAGAACACTGGTCATCGGCATGACGGCATCTGGGTGTCTTTGCCGTTTGTAATTCTGTAGAACTTGAGGAGTTTATGTAGCCAAGGGCAGGAGAGAAACTGAGCCTGTGATGTGCTGTTATCCCTGTCTGACAACTCAGCCATGAGGGAGAAACAACTGTCCACTGAGGCTTATGTATTTCCCCTGGGCCGGTCTCCTGCCCCGTGCAAGACTCGGATGACACGAGTGGCATCAGTAAGGCGAGAGCAGCGCCTGTCCCCTTCCCCCCGCCCTTGCGATGTGTGACCGCAGCAGGAGCGCGGTCCCATGCGCGCAGCTCTCCGGAGCCCAGGTGCGGCAAGGCTCAGTACAGGCCCTGCAAGCCCTGCCTGCTGTTGTCGTAGCACGCTTTGGATCTGTGAAGAGCTTTTAAGTTGCTTACCCAGTGAGGCACAGCGGCAGGTTGAAGGGCAGATAAGAAATGCATTTTTATCTCGTGTGATGTACAGTCACTGAATACACACGCTGTAACAGCACTTTGTCTCCAGGTAGCTGACAGCTGCATTCTTCTAAATAATTTCACGCTTTATTTAACAGAATTTGTATTTGTTTGCAGAAGATCATTAACATTCACTGACAGGCTGAAACGGCAAACTTGACGACAGTGGACTTCCTGAAGAAAGCAAGGTTGGTATGCAGAAGGGGAGGGAATGGTGCTACAAACCAGCAGTCGTACTGGTTGCTCTGTCAATACAGCCGTGTTCCAAGTAGGACCAGTCACTGGGAAGAGCACGTGGTGCTTTTGGCTTCCAAGGAGTCCGGGGAAAAAAGCAAAGAGGCAGCCTGATGATAAGTAGGAAAAGCAAAAGCTGCTCAGTGCTTTGAGAATAGAGAGGGGCAGGAATTGTTTCAGAACAAACTTTTTTAGGAAAGCAGTTACAGCGTTGCTTTGTGCCGTCTCCCAGCTCTAGAAGCAACAGAAGGAAGATTGCTCTGGAGCGGCTCTTGCAAACGGCCACTGCTCCGTCGTTCGGAAGGTGTAAAATGGCCACCTGCGCGTAACTGCAGGCTCCTCCCTGCTGCTCAGCGGTTGCTGCAGCTGCACCACGGGTAAGTTGCCAGTAAAGCCAAAGAGGATTTGGGTACTTGTGCCATTGGCTTGGGGGGAACAAGTTTTTGTCTCCCGAGACCTGCGCTTTCGATTAAATAGTGCAAGTCAGGAGCTTTCAGCTGACGGTTGCTTTGCTCTGACGCTGTCTTTTTTTCCACTAGGACCTGATCTACAGCTGGCTGGAGGAAGACAGGGTTCCCTGCTGTCTTCTGTTCCAAAATAAAATAAGTTATGGAAAATCTTGGGAGTTGAAGTGAGTTTTGAGTGTGCTCAGCTCCAGGGCTAGGCTGCACCCGTGGCTAGAAAGCCTCGCTTTTTCCAGATGGGAAAGGGGGGGGGGGGGGGTTCCTGACGTGCACCCATGGCTCTGCCCACGAGCGGATGGGATTCCCGGCGGGATGCTGCGCCGTGACAGCACTGGTTTTTAAAACCTGTTCTTTTTGCTGTATGTGTCAAGGCGCTGCCGATTGCCATGTTCAGAGTCACCTGCGTGGGCTGTGCTGAGGTTTGGCCGGAGCTGGTGCGAGGGGGTTTTGGTGCTGTCTTGGTCAGGTGATGGGAGGATCAGGCTCGTTCTTGTCGTGAAAGAGGTTTTGCTGAGTGCTTGTGAATAAAGACCAGGCCCAACGGGCTGCCTTGGTACCATTGTAAGGTGGCTCTGACGCGAACAAAGGTTAATTCGAGACCTGGGAACACAAGATGGGCTCCAGGCTAGAGATTACATCTGAAACAGGCTTACAGCCTCATCTTCCGTAATGCTCATTTGAGCTGGCTGGAAGCCGCCTGCTGTGAGCTTGAGGGGGTTTTGAGGCTCCCTGGCTCGCGGCCAGGCTCTCTCTTGCCATCTCTGCCGTAAATCGTTCCTCCCCAGCTGACGCATCCCCAGCGGGAGAGGGCTGCGCTCAGAGCTGCTCCCCGAGACCCGGCAGGGCTGTGCGGGGCGCCAGGCCTCCCCGCAGCCCAGGTCTCCGTGGTTTAACCCCGCTCCCATCCCCGCCTCGGGCTGTCCCCGGTCAAAGGCTCGCTCTGCTGCGTGCTGCAGCCCCTCTGCTGCGGGAGGTGGGGGTCTCGCCCCCACCCCATTCACCAAAACAACAGAAACAAGCACAAAGGAAAATCATTCAACATTTATGTAATTACACAAAGTGGGAAGGTGTCTCAGATTACACCGCTCCCGCGGCAGTGCCCTGTCAACCCCCCGGCCCCGGCCCCGGCCCGGAGCAGCCTCCCCAAGGGGGTCTTCCTCAGCAGCGCCGGCGGCTGCAGCAGGGCTGAAGGCCTCAAGACTTCACCTCCCTCGGGTTTTTTTGGGCGAGGAAAAAACTTAAGAGTGACGATCACTTGGGCTCACCCAAGGAGCTGGCGGGCTCCCGACCCCAGCTGGCGCAGGGCTGCCGTCTCGGAGCACTCGGGGGGCACCACGTGGTCCCTGTGCAAGGGAAACCCGACAAACCCACGGCCGCAGGCACGAGGGCTGCGCGCCGGCTCTCGTCGCCGGGATGCTCAGAGGCCAGCCACGTTTCGGCTGCCCCAGCTGAGCTGCAGTAACCCCACTCTCAGCTGCTGGCTTTTAAGACCCACCCTTCTTTGAAAACACCATGACCCAGAGAAGGAGAAACCGACAGCGCACGGCGTCTGTCAGAGGAGAGGGCAGCCACGCTGCCGGCTTTCCCGCTGATTATGGAGCCAAACAGATCCTTCTGGAAAGCGGCACGCGTCAGCTCAGAGCCGGCTGGAGTTCGGGCCTTCTGCAGGCCAGGAGGGACACACCACATTCCCGTTAGCGGGATGAGCTAGTCTCCAGTCCCTCCAGTCCAAGGATTCATCGTGCCCGTTGTGGTCCCACCACGGTGACGAGCATTTGAGCCTGGGCGCGACAGCAAGGTGAAGGGCGGCTTCCAGCCGGAGGCTGCCACGCGTACACATCTCCAGCACCCTCGTCCAGCATCACCCTGCCCCTCCTGTGCTTCCCGCCCGTGTTCGTGGGGCTGGGAGGTTGCAGCCACGTGCCATGGTGCTTCTTGGTGCCCCGGAGGCCACATTCAATCAGGTTGCACCACAAGTTGCCAGAGATCCCCGAGGAAACGCAACATTTCCCTACGCCAGCTTCAGCTTGCCCCTGACCACCACCGCCACCGGCTGCGGTGCGGAGGGTCTGTGCCTTGGGCCGGCCGGCCAGCCAGCTGGGGCGAGCCCTCGGGAGGGGGAAGGTGGCCTTCGGGAAGGAGGAGAAGAGCCACAGGAGTCCTTGGACTTGCCCCTGTGGGCCACCACCGGCCTCACCGCTGGTAGAGGGTCATGATCCCTGCTCGGTGCAGCCTCCTCCACAGCGCCGCCTCCAGCATCATGTCGTGGTTGGCATAAAACACCAGCGGTTTCTTCTCCAGCTCGTAGTAGTGGTCTGAGAACTGCTCGTAGTTGGCGGTGATGAACCCGTAGGCACTGACCTGCGGGGAGGGAGGTGGGACAGACAGACGAAGGATGGGGGTTAGGGCTCAGCCTAAGGTGCTCCATGCGCCACCAGCCCTGCGGGGACAGGGCACACGTAGGACAGCCACCGGGACACGCTGGTCCCACCGGGAGCCCTACAGCAGCTAGTCACAAGCCCCCAGCAGCCAAAGGGGGGTCCCCGGGGGAAGGTGGCCCCGTGGCCGCTTACCTGGTCGCAGGTGTGGAGCGCGGTGAGGAGCATGAGGGCGCCGGTGCTGGGCATGTAGAGCGAGCCATACTGCGTGTTCAGGAGCTCCGACCGCAGGAACCTGCCGGCGGACGCGGCGGGTCGGGGGGCTCAGCGCCAGCACGGCACCGCGGCCCCCAGCACCAGACCCAGCAGCACCCAGCGCCTGTCCAGCCCCACCGTGTGCTCGGTGACGCTGGTGCCTGGTAAGGCAGGAGCACCGAGGGAAACGCAGTGCTTGTGTGGATTCTCTGATGGCTGCTACTAAGGTTCAGCTCAGAAAGGCACCTCCCTGCTGTTTGAAATCACCTCAACCCAGGCGCCTGCTTTCATGCAAGGTAGGAAAAGACAGTCCCTTTGGGTGCTAACTCCGCTCCTGCTAGACTAGGTCAAAATTGAATTTATCTGGGGGAATGGGAGGCAAGGTGAGCACAGTGAGGCTGTGGGAGTCTCCCTGCCAGGAGGGGACGTGAGCTGCGCTGCAGGGAATGGGAATGGCAGGGGACAAATCTCTCTGCTTTATCTGCAGAGGGCAGGACAGAGGTGGTTCCAGTGCCTGGAGAGGACTGGGACTGCGCTTTGCTGCTGGGCAGCCACCAGTCTGTACAGGAGAGAGCAGTGGTGGGAGGCAGGGTGAGCCCAGCCCGGAGCAGAGCCGGGCAGCAGCCACAGCCCTCATCATCCTCACCTCGCTGTCAGGTACTGCAAGAAATCAGGATGCAGCAGCTTGAACTTCTCTGCAGATGCCTCCGGGCCAAAATACTTCTGTGGCCTGCAGCGGGGCGAGGAGAAGGGCAGAATTTGCATCACGGGAGTCTTGGGGCTGCTTGGGGTTTATCCCAGCAGGGACAGACGTGGGGTGAGGGCAGGCAAGTCACGCTCCCTCCGGTGTCACCGAAGGTGCTGGGGGGGTCTTGGGGGGCTACTCACTTGTCCCCCTTGTCTGAGCCCTCGGGGACCGGGCTGCCCTGGATGGCCGACTTCAGCATCACGTAGTCACGGATGTCCGAGGGGATGAAGATGTACCTCAGGTCCTGCAGCGGGGACACAGACGTGGCACGTGGGGGGGCTTTGGGGCACTGCCCGCGCCTGCGGGGCGAGGGCTGAGGGCTCCTGAGATGGAGAGAAGGTTTGGGGGCAAGCCCAGCCTCAGAGGACAATTCGGGGTCACCTCCCCAACAAGCCCTTGGGTTCTCACCTTGGCCTGGGGTATCTGGGTGAAGCCGTACTCCTCGTAGGCGATGAGGGAGTTCTTCATGGTGTTCACCGTGAAGCCGTAGAAGGAGATCTTGGTCCCGACGTCCTCCTCGAAGCCTTTGATCACGGCACCATTGAGCCTGCAGGAGAAGGGCAGGACACGTGTCCAGGGCCAGCCACTCCCCAGCACCCACGGCCCCATCCTGCTCGGGACCCGTCCCCACCTGAAGACCAGGTCATGCGCGTCGATCGCCTTGCCCTGCCGCGAGCCGTTGAGGATGCCACCGTTGCCCACCACGGCGCAGCGGATGCAGCCCCTGGGGAAGGCGTCCCTGTCGAAGAGGCGCCTGTTGGCTGAGGCGTTGAGGAGCTGGAGGGTGCTGCCCACCACTGGAACGGAGCAGGATGCGGCCAGTCAGTGGGGAAAAGGGGGGTGTGTCAGCCCGCGTGAGCACTGAAGTGTGCAACACCACGCACAGGCAAGCTTGTGCGAGATCACATCCAGGAGCAGCACACAAGAAAGCTCGCACCATCCTCAGGTGGGAGAGGGGTCTACAAGTGGGATGGGGGGTCACCAGTCGGACCCTCCTCTCCCACCTTTGGCAGCGGCCCCCTCCCACTTAAGCCCGCTCCAAACAGCGGCCGCCTGAGGCCGTGCAAGGCACGGGGATGCATCTGGACACCTCCAGCCCCAGCCCTGCGGGTGCTGCTGCCTGCGCTGGCCATGTCCCCTCCTGACAATGCCTCCTTGCAGCTGCCACCAGTTCCCCCCCACCATCCCCAGCACTTCCCAGCCCAGGAACTGAAGCCAGCGGCTGCCGGGGAGAGCAAAGAGTGGGTTTGGGGTAGGAAGGGAAACAATCTCCATCCACAACAATGGAGCGGGTTGTCCGAGCTCCTCTGTCCCCAGTTAATAATTATGCACACACTGGAGCTTTTATTCGGGGAAAATGTCACAAGATGCAGCAAGCGGCATTTGCAAAGCCATCCCCTCCGCCCGGCGCCCTGGGAGGCGGAGTGGGAAGAGGTCAAGGTCCCTGGCTCCTCTGCAGGGCTCCTCTGCCTGCCCCAAGTCTTCAGTCCCTTCTGCTGGGCTCCCCGGGCCCCTCGCCCTCCCGTCGCCCCCTTGCCCCATCTGCTGCCACCCCCATCCCGGCTGGGTCCGTACCTGCGTGGGACAAGCCTTGCCAGCCGTAGGGGACGTGTCGTGTCTTCAGCCTGTCCCAGGTCTCCGGGGTGAAGTGCTGGTCCCACATCAGCACAGGGGTGTCGAAGCGGAAGATCTCCCCAAACTTGGGGTCTGCCTTTGCTCTGGCCATCACCGAGCGGAGGCACGTGCTCGGCTGGCAGGGAGGAGGACCTTGGTTCAGTCTCCAGCCTGGGTCTGCCTTCCCTCCGACACCTCCACCCCTCAGCAG